AAATACGCGAAAGAAAAATATTCAGGAAACACTTACGAATTTTTCTAAACTGTTAAATACAGTTAAACAAAAAAAGCGCCCAAGTTTATCACAGATGGTCGACATGAAAACAAAAGGACGAGTAAGTGCCAGGACTCGAATGGGCAATAAATGGCTATCGAAGGTGAAAAAGGCGCAAGTAGTCCCAAGAGGTAAGGATAAAGCGATTAAATTTTAAAAAAATTAAATGGTAGGACGTACTTACAGTATATTATAATATTGATTTGACGTGCTGTGTAGAATCGATATCAGTTAGTGTCGTACATCTGAGTCCGTACGGATCGCAGATAAGCTTTGCAAGCTTGTCCAACCGTATCGAGACCGTGACGGACTGGGATGCTATTGCAAAGAAATATCGAGCACTGCAAGGGGCCAGTGAAAGTGATGAGAGAGAAGATACAAAGGCTTCTAACGCATCAATGGAACGATTAACCCGGAGTAACAGTGAAGCCCAATCAGATCCACAACCGGTACTGGCAAACAACATAAAAAATATCCCATAAAGACAAATTGACGATGTTAACGTGTAAATTAATTTCACTACAATTATTTTTACAATAGTATATAGGTAAACGTATAATATGTAAAAAATTATAAATGTACAGAAAGTGTAAAATATTAAAATTATTATTACTGATAAATGTATAATGAATAATATAATATGTATTATTTTTTACCTATTAAACATAAACTAATGTACATAATAAAATTAAATACTCCAAAAAAATAAATACATTTATATTATTTTACAAATTTGTTTTTGATTTTTTGAATTCTATCAGTTTAATAAGATTGGTAACAATCTAAAATGTAATATTATATTTAACTATTACAGCATCAATTACCTACCTATATACCTGAAAAGTGCCGGCCCGATGGTTTTCAGGGCTCGGTGCAGAATTTTGCGGGGCCCCATATATATTAATTTATTAATTATTTATAAATATCTATATTTATTTATTTTTCCTTAGGGACTTACTTTATTTTTACATAATTTTGTACCGGTGATAAGCAATTTTACAAGTGCATGCGTGTAACTGCATAGCTATATTATATATAATTCGCGTACTACTGGGACAATATGATTATGTCGGGTTCGGTGAATTGCGTCCCAAAAAAAAAATGTTAATACACAGATAGGTGAATTGCGTCCCCGATATTTTTTCTGAATAGGTGAATTGCGTCCCCAATACTTTTGGAAAGGTTACACAGGAAATATTTCGTTCTAAGCGATATAACTGCAGAACAGCAGAACCTTTATTTTATTTAATTTTTATTTATATCATTTATCGGAATATCCAAGAATTAAATAATATTTTATCTCACATGACCGTTTCAGTATCAATACAATACGCGCGTTTAGAATCGGACTGAGTAAATTTTTATATTTATATTCGATCGTTCGCGATAATAATTGCGATAACATATAATTACTATATAATATTTGTGAATTGTGATTTCAAATTTCCCAACGTATACAGTTGACAAGCAGTCGTCCGTCAGTCCGCAGTCATCAATCGTCAGTACTCAGTATATAGTGTAATTTATTTATTTATTATTAATTTTAAATGGAGTTTTCAATTAGTGAAAAAAACAAAAAAATAGTTATAATTGAAGGTTTTAAATTTCGATTCCAAAAACTATTAAGAAATGACGTACAACGTTGGTGCTGCTGTTTAAAATCTTGTAAATGTTTTTTTAAATGTGAAAATAATTTTAATATAATAGAACAATCTACAGAGCATAATCACCCAAAACCAGAACAAAAATTATTAAATCGACAAAATATTAGTAATTCTCTTAAAAGAAAAGCTATAGATGATATTTCGTCAAAACCATCTAAACTTTTACAAGTAGAATTAAAAAAAAATGACGTAGAAACAATAACCACTAGCGATGTGGCACTAATCAAAAGAAATATTCGTTATGCACGTACATCTGTTCACCCAAAACTACCAAAAAGCCTTTCCGAACTTCACGATTCTTTATGTATGTACGAAATAAAAACCAATAAATTGGAAAATTTTTTATTAGTGAATGACAAACCAAATGGCATAGTTGGTTTTTCAACAATATCAAATTTAGAGGTATTATGCAAAGTACAACATATTTATATTGATGGTACATTTAAATCGTGTCCAAAATTTTTTATGCAAGTTTTTACAATTCATGGACTCCATAATGATAATTACGTGCCTCTTATATATTTTTTACTACAAAACAAACACACTGAAACGTATGTGCAATTATTTAAACATGTATTACATCATTGTGATACAAATAGTTTCCTGTTTTCTCCTACGTATGTCCACATAGATTTTGAATCCGCAATACATTCTGCTGTAAGAAATGTATTACCTACAGCTCAAATTAAGGGATGTCGTTTTCATCTAGGGCAAAGTTGGTGGAGAAAAATACAGTCTCTTGGTTTGACAAAAGTTTTTAAAGATTATAATTCTGAAAAAAGTCAATTTTTAAAGTATTTATTTGGGTTGCCTTTCTTACATTCAGATGAGGTAGAAGAATGCTTTCAGAATGATTTGCAATCTATTTTACTTATTGAAGACGAACGAATTAATAAATTCATAGATTACATATTTAAAACTTACATTACAAAAGATGCAAGTTTCCCACCAAATATCTGGGCTGAATTTACACCAACAACAAATCGGACAACCAACAGTTGTGAGGCGTTCCATTCTAAATTAAATAATCTATTTATTTCTAGTCATCCAAATATTTACAATTTTATTGATGTTATAAAAGATATTCAATCCGAAACATACATAAAAATACGTAGTAATCGACAAAGAAAATCACGTCAAATTATGGAAAAAGAAAATTATATTCGAGAAAAAATGGTTGAATATAATAACAAATTATTAACCAGATTTGAATACGTTAAAGCCGTTTCATTTAAATTTTTACCAGTTTAATATACTTTTATAATAATTTTACTTTTTTTTACATAAATATTTGACCTACAAATTTAACTAAAAATTAAAAATAAAACCAAATTTTTAAAATTTTTAAATCCTATATTTTTATTTTAAAATTAATAATTTTTTAACATTTTACTCAGTGACATACTATATTATGATATATTTTTACATTATTAGAACCTTATGCAATTTTATATAATATTAAATTTAAGTGCTTTTTGTTCATCTTACCAATAATCAAGCTGTTTAATTTAATTGTATGATATGATATAATATAATATAATATATTATTATGCTATTACTTATTTAAATTGTATATATTTATTTTGTAAATTGTAGCCACTGGGTTGTTTCTTTTATCACGCGATTTATGTCATACTTAAAAATTTAGCTCATATTCTAATTAAAAAATAAAAAAAATAATAAATATGTTTATTAATGTTTGATATATAATTTGTAAATTATATTTCAACTAATGTATTAACTTAGTATATTTTATGTATTTGTTACATATTATACTAAGTATAAATATCTAATTATTATTAAAATGGGACGCAATTCACCTAGCATTAAATATAACAGGGACGCAATTCACCTAGTATTAAATTACAACAGGGACGCAATTCACCTAGTTTTGTGGAAATGGGACGCAATTCACCTAACGCCGATTATGTATATTTATAGATTTAAATGGTTTTCGTATCACATAATTTGTGGGGCCCCACAAACGCGGAGCCCGGTACGGTCGCACCGCTTGCCCGCCTAGAGCCAGTACTGTACCTGAGGTATTTACAAATTACAATCTACTAGGTACTCTAAATGTTCTAATATGTAATACCTATCCGAATATGTGCATAGTCTTATAGACGTCACTAAAAGGTATCGAGAGGTACTTTATTACTTACTTACCTCATAAACTCTTTTGGGGTAACAAATATATATCATTAAGCTACCACCAAAAAAATACTTGGATTTAAAAAATATATTCCCGGTAATTATTATTCAAAAGCGACAATAATGATTCGTTCCTATAATTGTCAAACGTAGTATGAAATAAAAATATCATGATCAAAACAATTTTTGATTGTTGATGTTATTTTATACATAATATTATGTGATAACGTTAATTATTTTTTTCATAAAACTCCTTTCTATAAAATTTCTTGAACAATCATTAATACAACATATTTTTTCAAAAAATAAACAGAATTCAAATTTTCTGTGATTTTTTTTACTACACCAGAATTTCGAGTTTAGTGACGCCTATATTATTATTATTATTGTGAAATCATTTTAACAATACGATATATGTGACAACTTGTTTTAGTGGAAATTAAAATAAACTTTAGAAAATTAATTAAAATTTGGCTATAACATTATCAAATTCCAATAATGCAGCTAACTTTGGAAGATGAGTACTTTTTTTGCTGGTTGACTATGATATCAGTAAATGTTAGTTTATAATGTGATTCTGTAGTAGAATCATTTGTTTCAGATATTTTAGCTTTTTAAAAAACATAAATAGCCATACAGGAGTGGAACTCATGTGGAAGGAATGCATTTTATGTTGTTTAGTAGTAGTGGCAAGCTATTCAAGATAATCTGTCTGGACATTTCATATAGGATGGTATTTGAGAAAAATGTACATTTGGCTAAGAAACTGTAATAGGAACAATTGTTGGAAAAATGCTCTTCTCCACACTTGATACTACAACGAGGTTAATGTGCAAAAAATATATTATTCTGATATCCGTGAGCTAGGTTAGTGACAGTTATGGTATTGATTTGTAATGAAAATAATAAATCTTTTTTCATTTGTCCAGTTAAAGTATTTATTCCAAAAAATGTAATATAGGTCTTACTTTAATTACATAATAATTTATTATACTTGCTGTTTTAAAAAATAAAACTAGAATTATAAAACTATTTCTCTTTATTCAATACATGGATTTTCCTTTTTTTATTATTTCAATATAAATGAACAAGAACAAATTTAATACAAAAAAAAAAAAAAGCAATACATAAATTGATAAAACAACAGAATTGAAAATTATTGTAATACTTACTATGAAAATCAATTGCTAGAAATAATGGGCGATACTACTGATAAAAACTGAAAAAGAAATAATTTATGCCATATTTATAAAAAAATATTAAACAATTAAATAGATTCTATATTTAATAAATAATATTAATAATTTGAGTAATAATTTAAAAAAAAAAACATAATATCTAATACTATTTTAAAAGCTTCTAAATAGTTTATCAACTTTTATGTTGATATAAATAAATGATCTCATTAAGTATTAAATCAAAATATTGAAAAACAAATACCAAATATTAAGTTACAACCACCTTTAACTAACCGAATTTCTATTTCTTCTAAAACTAATATCATTCATTATTAATAATTGTGTAATACTCAAACATAATATTTAGTACTAGCATTGATTATAGAATAGATATTTTATAATTAAAGTTACTAATTGTATACATATATATTAATTTTAATTGTATATAAATAAATAAATAATGATGGAGTACAATAAAATATAAGTATAAATAACTTACTTTAGTAATAGTATTAAATGTTACATTGACATTTTTTTGATTAATTGTATATGGTAAACAAATATCCAACTCATATTTTGTTTGTTTGTTTGTAGTTAACATTAGACAATCTTCACCACATTTTAAATCAATTTCTTGTGAATTATGCTATTGAAAATAATAAACAAAAATAATTTAAAGCAATAATTGAAATGTTAGTTTTTATTAAATTACCACGTCTGGCATCCAAACATCTAAAATTATATTTTTAGGGTTATTTTCTGGTTGCACATAAATCCTATACTCAGGTTTGACATGTATGTCTAACTGAGAAAGTGATGCTTTTGAATTTAATTCCTGAATCAAAGGTTTTTTTTTAAATGTTGATGGTCTAGGAGGTCGTTGTTGAATTCTATGTTGCTGCAAAGACCCAATGCATTTTCTATTTTTTAATATAATTGGATCTACAACATAAAATAATAACAACCAAATTAAAAGTATAATATTTAAATTAGATAAGTTTAAGATTGTGGCTTAAAGGAATTCTGTTCTTTGCTATTTCCATACTCGAAGTATCTTAATAGAAATCCAATTGCACATTGTTTTTTAATTTATTTATTTATACTTCAAAATAACATCAACAATTTGTAAAATAAGAAATACAAAAGACTATTATGAGTATTATGTTCTCAAAATGAATGATTACATACTCATCCAATACTCTACAGGGATTTAAAAATAAAAATAGCGAAGAAGAGAAAACTTTTAAGATGATAAACATTAGGTAGTAAAAGCTAATAAATACTCTCTGCGCTTATATCTATTTTGAACTTTTCAGCTACTCCCTCTATAGTAGCACAAACAATGAATGTTTGAAATACATCATCATTTTGACACTTTTTGAAAAATTCTGAATTTACTGCTACATCATAAACAGGAACTCGCGCATTAGCTATAACATAAAAGCTATTAATATTCAATACATTTAAAATAAAATATATTTCTAACTTGAGTCAAAATATATTGTTAATTTATATCTATGTGTTATAATATTTTTAATATTAAATTCATCTGTATTTATTATAATTTTATTAAAATTAAAATACATAATACTAAAACGTTTTGAAAAGCAATAATTTTCTCATAGATTTAACAAATTCATACATAATCATAACTGAGGCACAATTAATAAGATTAATAAACTTAATAAAAATATATTTATAAATCTTTTATTACTTAAGCACAACTGTAAAAATATTCAAATAAAAATAAATGCATTATAGCATTATTATTGAAAATATAATCTTTACAAGTAAGTTACATTGCCTAAGTTTTAAAATCAAAATTTTTAGACTTACATTTATCAATTTCCATGTGTTCTATACCAATACTTAACGGGATACAGAATTTTTCAGGATCCTTAGAATTGAAAACTTCGACAAGTTCTTCTTTTGTAATATCATCTGGAGGTGGAATGTCTGCATGGTGGCAGAGGTTTATGAACACTTTTGACTTATCAGTTTTAAATAGTTTTATACAGAGTCCTGCGGTTAAACAATATTAATTAATATTCAATCAAATTTCTAAATAAATTAAAGTACTTCTTAATAACAAAGGGGCAAAAGATTATTAAAGTCATACCTGGAGCTGGTTTGACTAATTTTCCTGATTCGGGATTGAGGAAACCACTCACAAATTGTTCGAATTCTTGTTCCTCGTTGCTCTGAAAATAATAATTACTATGTCACTAATTTGGATTCGTTTGAAATGAGCAAGTAAGTATACAAATAAGTTATAATTTATACGTACTTGAATTAAAAGGTTTTTTTCAATAATCGACTCGTCGACGTCTAAAAAGTTTTTAGATGACATAATATTACTTTACGTGACTTGTTTGAAAAAGTGTAACAAAAATATGAATTATGGATCGATAAAGCACAAATAAACCGGAAAAAAATGAGACAAATAATTAAGCTAAATGACGAAATAATAAAAATGAATCATTAAATTAGCTTTAAACTCTTTCAAAATAGGTATCAAACGTATATAAACTAAAATACGTGAAAATAGAAGCTCATGCTCCATAGATTTATACTTATAAAACTTATCACTTCTTGATAAGGCAGAAATCACACTATAGTATACTTAGTTGCCTATATATTACTTATAAGGAGTTATCTAAGCACTTGCAAAACTATACATTTGTTATTTTTAAATATTAATAATTATTGTACTATTTGTACTGCATAGGTATAATTATGTCTGTTAGCCCAATAGAATTATACATATACACTATTACAATTGTATATTTTTATACTATCCTTCCTTTCTTACTATTCTTTCTTTAGGAAAAGTATCAAAAATAAAAAAAAGCATTATGATAAATAAATTTTTCTCAGTTTTGCATTATTTTAGAGTTTTAAACATTGGTGTTAAATATAGGAGTAAATTTTATAATGTAAATTTTAACTTTAATAGCAGTATTTTTTAATTTTGTCACCAATGATACATATATGTAACTAAAAATATTGGGAAAATGTGTCTTTTTTACTGTAACTTCTTTTTCCTGAAGCTTTTTTTTTTCAATTTTTTATTTATTTACCTCTATTATAGTTGATACTTTACATGCACACTAATGATATTTTACATAACAAACACAAAAATAAATTATTTTGATCAACATTAAGTTGACAACATAATCACAAGTCCATAACAGATGTATATAAAACACTATTTTTCTGTTTAAGATTTTGTAATCATAATACAATATACTAAAACAAATTACATAGGTATACAACAAATATAATTTTTATATAAATATTAAAATATATAGGAAATAACATTTCTATATATATATATGAATGTTTAAGAGATAATATTATTTGTACAATTAGTTCACTACATTTAAAGTATAACAAATATAATAGAATATCAAACACCAATAAAACATTGGAAAACTGCAACTTATCAATTGTTGTTCCTCATAATAGTCTATGAATATTATATATACATATTTATCATTTAATATTTTAACAAACATTTATAATTATAATACTATTTATCAAATAATAAATGTTACTAAAAATTAATTATTACTCGCTCTTAAAAATAGTAAATTAATAATAACATTTTATATATTATGTGTTAATTACATTGAACATAATTTTTATATTGAAAAATCATCTCATTGTTACAAATAGGTTCACCAATTAAACCTTTTTCAATATATGATTCGTAAAGAGATATATTTGATGGACTAACTTCTGGTACAGGGATATTAAATGAACTGTTGTATTTAGATTGACTATTTGACGTTACTACCAAAACACTTGTTGGATTAATTGCCATTAGTATATACCTGTAAAGTTGAAATAATAAATCCTAGTAATGTAATCAATTTTCAATAATTAAAACAAATTTATTCAATTTGTAAGTATAGGTATATAAATTTATTTTGTATGAACTAATATAATAAGTTTAGATTTTAAATAAGAGGTTTGATAAAAATTATTTTTTTTAAATAGATATTTTATTGACAAGTTAGTTAAACTTTTTTTATAAGAATTTTGTAATTAGATAATTTTTCTATAAATTAAATAAAATAATTTCAATATTCAAAATTAAAAAAAATATTAACTCATACAATAATAATATTTATATTTTGTTTAACTATCATCATTCATGAAAAAATAATAAAAATTACTTTTTATAAATAGCAATATCTGCTGGTTTTGTGACTGCTAAATTAATTCCATAAATACTCTGTTCAGTCTGCAGAGGATCAAAAGTGATAGAATTATCTTTTGATGCAATACTCATTGAATCAATTCGTTTTGAAAAAGAAATATCTTCATCGCTCTCGCCACTACCACAACTGAATACAAATATAGTTTCAATCAAATAAAATAACTTTGAAGATATAATATAACAATACAATTGATTATACATTTTTTAGTAATTAATAGATAAGAAATACCTGCTACTTGAGTTGATTGAATTTGTAGAGCTATGACCTGTCATAGAAGGATTCCTAGTTTTTTCAGAGATTTGTTCACGCTTTTTACCAGGTCTAATACGCATAGAAAATGGACTGAAATCTGTTACACAGTTTGGCATAAAATCTCTGAATAAAGAAAAAAATATGTATTATTAACTATATATTATAGCCATTGATGAATTACTTAAACTATACCTCACAGAATGGCTAATTTCAAAAGCATAACTTTCAGACATCACACTGAATTCATCTGTTTTATAAAAGTGACTAAAGCTATCATAGTCCTCTACATTTAATGAATTGGCTGGATATATTTCTAAGTATTTTTTTTTGATTTCCATACAAGATAATGGCAAGCAGTCCATAACACATTCATCCCACCATCTTGTCAATGGAATACTGCAAAAAATTCAATTGCATTATATTTATGAAATTAATAGTCTAGACTAGTGATCTTCAACTAAAGTACCATAAAACTATTGAAAATATAAAGCATTCATTTATAATTTAGTGAAAATGTAACTCTGGATTTTTACCAAAGTAATTAAATAAAGATTGAGAACCACTGATCTAGATAAAATTACTTAAGATGATGTAAGCACAACATTATTTATCTTCAACTCAAAACCACACATAGCATAGATAAAACCCGTTAGTGCACATTTTTTTTTAAGATTAATAAAATTATTAATTTCCTATTACAAAAAATTATAGAATATTTTTTAAAGTTTTATCTATTTTGTATTTTTTATTATAAATTTAAATAATAAACTTTAAAAATAAATGAACTAATTTAAATGAATATTAATTTTTTGGAGACAATACTTAAACAAATCAATATGTCTCAAATCCTCAAAAATATTATTTTCTAAAATTTTCTTGATAGATGATTTCACTCCAAAATTACATAGAAACATAAAAAATGATTTTCTGTGAAGTATGAATACACTTTGTCTATATTGTGCATGTTTCAGAGAGAAAGAAAATAATATGCTGATATTTTTTAATACTTAATCATTTAAAAAATTACAAAATACAATCATTATTAACCAGTCATTAGGAAGAAATGATGTTGTTTCTGGATGATGTAAATAGTAATCAAAATTTTGTTCCCAAATGGCAGGCTCATTTTCATTTGGACAGAATAATCCCAAAAATAGATTTATAGCATTTTGTTTTTCAGTATCTAGATATAACCAATTATATTATTGTAGAACATGTTTAAACTTAGGTTCAAATATAAGCAACAAAATTCTAACCGGAGAATGTATTACTATAATAACGACTCAATGTTTGCATAATATCATTGCCTTGTGATGTCCAAGGGGCAGTTTTACGGTAAGTTTTTATTCGATGAATTAATTGAGATCCTCCATACTGTAAAGCTAAAGTATCTCCATGGTCCTCATATGAAACTTCCAATAATCGAACACAGTCAGTGTCATACTCTAATTGCGGTTTGTGTAATAATCCTAAATAATAAAGCTGAAAAATAGAAAGTTATTAATATAATTAGAAGTGACGCTTAAAATACCTCCAGATAGCTCATTTGAACTAGCTAAATAATTGGGTGAATGTATGGATAAAATAAGAGAGTACTACACAATACCAAGAAAAAATAATATTTAGAGGGATGACAAATTGGAAAAAAAGAGCAAATTAATCAAATTATTTGAATTTCCTGTTATAATTTCATTTTACACCATTGGTAATGAGTAGTTTAAATTATACATCAAAAAGGATGATTTCTCAATATACATATGGCTTACATAAAAATTGCGATTACAACATTAAAAAAAATCAAAATCTGAACATATTTAATAAAAAATACAAGTAATAAGTACCACAAGTAAAAGGTATTTTTTTACACAAACATAAGTGAAAATCATTTTTCTAACAAAGAACAGGTAAAATACATGGAAAAAATCTAAAAATCTGATTAAAGAAGGTGGAATGCCAATTCTTTGAAATTAATTATAAAAATTGGTTCCAGGCCTACTAAAATGTATTGATTTAAAAGGTGATTATGCACCTATGGTACAATCAATGTAAATTTCATAAAAATATTATTTAGACTTATTGATTTTAATGTGGAAGACCTTCATAATTGTAACTGGAGTTCTATACTGTAATTATAGATTTAATTAGCTCTATACACACCATCACCAAATACATTTATTAATACAACATTGATTCATACTTGATAAGCTAGTGCACATTTCCCAATAACAAATTGAGCAGTGTTAGTACGATCTAAGCAATCAACACAATTTACTCTAATTATTCCATTTTGAAGAATAATACCATTTTTATCTTGCCCAAAGGTAGGTTTTTCTATAATCCGTGGACAATTAATGTACATGCCAGTTTTAAAAATTGCCATACGCGCAATTTCATCAAGGCGTCTCATGACATTTACATTTTTACTGATAAAATATATAAACCAAATTATAAAGGTATCAACAAAAAATAAATTATTAAAAAATTTTTAAAAATATTTACCTTTTATTCATTCTTGCCATATCAAAATGTATATACTGAATGTGATGACAAGGTGGTAAGAACTTATTTAAATATTTCACAGCTGATACTAAATGATCACTTAACTGCGATTCATGAACCTTCTTTTCACGCTTTTTAACAAGATTTATTATAACTGTTGGTGAACCATATCTTCTATACAAATTATTAAAATGAGCACCTTGAAAAAATAAAATTGAACATAAATAAATGTATCTATTTATAGCAATTCTAAAAGACCCAAAAACTTTAAAAAAATGTTAACACTTTTAATCATTATAACGATGGTAAAAACTGTATTTTGTTGGTTTGTGAATAAATATTGATGATTCATCAAACAAAATAATCAATAAAACAAATTAATATAAATTGCACTTAAAGTTAAAGTTAATTTTTTTTTAATAAAAAAGGAGAAAATATTGTACAGTGAAAGTTACTAACCAGATATTTCATGGAATGGATCATTTAATTCAAATGATATTGTAGGTTTTGGTACCATTTTACTTATATCTTGGCTCCATAAGCCAGGAACTGAACCTCTCATTTGAAG